GGTTTTTTAATGTGAAAAAATAAACCAAGGAAAAACTCTCTCTCTCCTGCATGCTCATTCAGCGCAATTATTTTTTTCCTTCATCAACAGTACCACTTAAGAATTTTAACTTGTCCAGAGTATGGTTCTGTGTCATCTAGAGACTGGAAAACTGTGTTGGGATTCTGGAGGCACAAGCTAAGCTTGATGACATTAGTCAGTGCTGGCAAGTTACTTGAAGTGCTCAAGCCATGAATGGAGCACAGTCATGCTGCTGAGAAAGGGAAACAAAAATATGTCATAGTGCTAAAAATAACACTTCCAATAGGAAGTTTACAAAATATGGAGCTAAATTGGAGCTGACTTTCTGGAAGGCTGAAGGCAGAAACATCCACTATGCAGGGTTATCTCTGCACTTTAACCTGTGCAGACACTGTCATCCTTTTGTGATCCAAACCATCCCAGGTATGTCACATCAGCACGCTCCCTACAGCAAACTGATGGAAGCAACACCTCAAACATCAAAAACAATAATCTGCTGTCCAAATTTAAGAACAGGCACCAAATTCAATCAAGAATCAAACCTAGAAGTAGAATTTTTCTCAAGAAACAGCCCTACCAAGAGGATCTTTTGCTGGTTGTAACAAACACCAAAGGGGAAATGGCAACTACAAGCTAAAACTAGAGACAAGTGCAGGATACCCTCAGACCTCATGTTACGTTTTTCCACTTCTCTAATACTATAATCATGGGCTGGTCCTTGGGTTTTTAGTCTTAAGCAGTTCACCTACCCTCTGAAGTGAGCTCCAAATTGACAGGCAGTAAACACCTTCCTCTCCCCAGTGAAGGAATGCCAATGAATTTGTTGCAACAGAAATCCAGGAGCTGATCCTACCACCCCAATGAACATTTTTCCCATGTCTCTTTACAACTTGCCTGATTGTATCCTTTGCAAAGTACAAGAGTATGATTTGCTCAAAAGCAATTTATTGGTGGCATTCATCTACATAAAAAGATGTTTGGGTACATCCAGAATGCTCACACCACTTTTACTTATGCTTATTCCTTTGTGTCTCAATGCTCTGGATTTCCAGCCATCCATCAGGAACTGCAGGCCAGGCTCTCCCTGAGGTTGGCTTTCCAAATTGTTAGACTCACAAAATTGGTAAATATCTTTATCACCAACAGAGTTGATTTATATCAAGATTTGTTTTTTTTTAATCTGCCAATTCTTCCTCAAACTGAGGACAACTTCTATTTTCCAAGAAATTCCAGCGTTTCTAAATTTTTATTAGAATCTAATCTAGATGCTAATTTTTATTTTATTAGAATAAAATAATAAATAGTGACAGTGACAATCAATAGAAGTTTAGTGTCTACCCACATGTTCCACTTTAATATAATTTACACAAATTATTGTGTAGAAGATAACAGTTCTCATATATTCAAACTGGTATCTTGTTAAGAGTACAATTACTCAAATCCTGCTTTGAGTTCCAACATGAAACATGTCAAATAGTTCAATAAGGCATACATTGTCCAAATGACACATTCATATTACTAAAGCACTGACAAATTTAGTTAATTTTCCCTTTCTGTCAAAAGCTACAATCAGATTGACGCAGTCCTGTGGAACACTCCAATTTCCACTAAACTGCATTTTCTAACAGAAAACTGTTCCATAAAAAAAAAAAAAAAGAAAAGAAAAATCAGCCAGCTCTAATGTGCCTGAAGTCTATGCAATTAAAAAAGTTTCTAAATATAGCTTTAATCATGGCCGACCCCAATCTTCTCAGAAGTCCTTGCCCTCCAGGCCATCCCAAAGGGATGGGAACATCCAGTAACAAGCCAAAAGTCTCATGACAGTGTATTGACCCCATTTGATATTTATCTCTAGCCATTTGTGAGAGCTTCCCATGAGCTTAATTAAGCTCATTCATTTCCACAAATTGTGGCATCCTAGAAAATATCAGACTTTCCTTTGATAGATGAGATTCAGATGTGGAAGTCTTATGGGAGGCAAGGTGTCTCTCAGGCTATTTGACAGAGTAGCTCATGAAACAACTTATCTAATCCATCCCCTCCACAAGGTGGAAGTGGAATGCATGTAGGATTGTGCCCTGTCCAAGGCAGACCCCAGCAAAAAGCCACTTGCTACGAACTGGGAAAACTCACCCCACTGTGGAAAAACTGAACCCTTTAACTACAGAGGTAAAATTGCAAAGCCACAAAACAATTTCTGTCCTTCAAGGCGGTATTTAGAAGGGAAAACTCTTGCATGGAGAAGCAAAGATTTGAGAAGCAAACAGGGTGAGTGTTTCTGCACTTTGGGTTTGGCTTTGAGCATCATCTTTGTCTTTCCTACATTATATTTTTCTATTTGTGCTGTATTTGACTGCCCTTAGGGAATTTGTTTTGTGTAACAAAGCCCACTTGAGGGGACACTGTAACAGCCTTCCACTGTGCAAAAGGCTGCTGCAAAAACTCACTACTTATTCTGCACAGATAAGGCAAAATACCAGGTAAAGGTAATCAAACATGAACAGAGGAAAGCAGGAAGACTCACTCTTTATCATAATGGTCTTAAAGTGAAGCCAGACAAGCTTCTGTCTTGAATAACAGGTAAAATTGATCCTGCCTCAGGGTGAAATAATAAGCTAGCAAACCTCTTAGAGTTGCTTCAAGTTGGGATTTTTTTTGTTGTTTGGTGGTGGGTTTTTTAATTTAAGAAAATCCATGATAACTGCAGGCTGGAAAAAATGTAACTTAGTACCCTCTACGAACCATTTCTTAATATCAAACCTAAGCAGAAAAAAAAATAAAAGTATTTCCCTAACGTAGAAAACCATTTTTTAAAAAAATCTACCTTTCATTTATTTCACACTAAAACATTCAATCACCAGGTATAAGCTTAAACTTCGTTAATTACATACTTTCCTCCCACAAGTGTTTTCCTTTACAAAGCTGCTTCAATCTAGTATGTGGTCAGCTGGAGACCAGTGCAAATATAAGTATTTTCCTTTCTTGTGTATATTTAAGCACTTTGTTTACTTTGGAGTTTTGGTTCATAATTCCTATGCTGTCCTAATTGCTCCATTTACCTTTAACATATGTACACAGAGTCTACACCAAGGAGCTCAGGCACTTCATGCAAAGGAAGAGCATTTGGTCACCACACTGGTTCCATCATTCCTAATTTTTCCAGCTCATTTAACACCTTTTCTACTGTTTTATGCATACTGAGCGCCAGTCTCATCTCAGCTGTGCTTCCACCTTTGCACTACATGTAACCTGAAAAACATTTCCCTCTTGGGGTCCTTCAGATCATATAACACCTCAAAAAATAGCTTTTTCCCACTCTTCATATCTGGATCATGACCCATCTTCTTACTGTAGCAGAAATACAGATCTGTTTTAACCCATACATGAAACTTCAGGATTTCCAGTGCTTTTGTTGTTCTGAGGTTACAGTGAAATGTATTTACCAAGTTGTGTCCCTGAAACACGACATCACAGCACAGTGGCACCAAAAACAAAAAGATACTCATGTGAAATCTTTCCCTACACGAGTTAAAAAGTCATCTGTAGCCAAAACAACCTTTTTTATTTAATGTTCTTCTTTCTGGACATAACTTACCTGGAAAAGTGTAATGGATGTAAAGCATCCTGCTTTTATATTTTGCTTTTTTATTATTTGACTTAGACAAACTCTAAGTGGCAAGATAAAACATTTCATGCAGATGAAGGTACTTGAGGAAGCTGCCTAAAAATAGTAATGTTTAATGTATATAGTGACTAAAAATAATCATGGAGTCAGCAGGTATTGAACAGCTACAGAATATCTCAGCCATAAGGATCTGTTTACACAGATACTTCTGTCCCAAGACTAAATAATATTTGAAAAAACACAATCACCACACAAAACACATCTGTTTGGAGAGTTTTGTTTTGGTTTTTTTCCAGTTACTAATATATCAGGACACAACATGGGTGTGACAGATAAAACCACTACTGAAGGGGAGTAGGGTGTGAGAAACAGAGCAAGAGAAGCAATTTTGCTGCTCCATATCTTGGCCCCACACCTACAAAAATAAACGGCTTGTGGACAGCTAACCTCAGGTCAGCAAAGCTTCCACTATTAAGTAGTTCCAGCTGGTAGGGATTTCCCAATTCCCCACTTATAGGAGCCTCTCAAATTACTTGTTCAAATTCATGCAGATCTGGGATTCCAGATATAGATTTTTAGAACAGCAACCAAGAAAATATGGTACCATAACATCAAAAAATCCTGACTCGAGCTGTAAGTGAAATTACAACAGCAATACCTCCAGGAAAACTACATGCTTCCCATATGAAGCTTTCAGGTATGAGATGCACACAAAGTACAGTCAAAATCTGAAGAAAAGTGAGAGCCAACCTTATTCTGTCAACACTGACCTATTTTGTTCAGGTCTAACAGCTCAAAAAGCTACAAATTTGGTGAAACCTGAATTGTAAAACCATAACACTCCTCAATTACTTTTCGTTGGCCAGACAGGCAAACCTGTCATTTGACAACACATCATGATCCAAGATAGTAAACTTTATCACTCAGGGGTCATGAGAAAATGGCCACAGGTACAGCTTGCTAACCTCCCCTAGGTAATTTTTCACAGTTATCATCCAAAAAGTGTAAAAGCATAAAAGACATGTTATCTTTGAGCTCCGTTTATTGTAACATGGGTGAGATTCCCTATAAAACCACTTACTAAGTAACTGTTGTGTGTTCTCCAAGACAGAGTCAAATCAGTAAAACATCATCTTGACAGTGTGTCAGGAACAAGACGACACCTCTCCTCTCAGAGACCAACACATTATTTATCATTCTGCTCTGACTTACCTTTGCTTCCCACCCAGCACCCAAAAGCACTTCCCTGCCTGGTTTCTTAATACAATGTTTGAAGACAAAGCTGAGCCAAGAGTTCCAGAACTTGATTCACGTTTTCCCAAATGCCAAGAATCCATTGGAGTTTTGCTCTTACCTGTAAGTAGATGCTTGATCGCAAAATTTTCACGTGTGTTCATCTTCTGAAATCAATTGAGCAGTTTCTGTGGGGGAGTTTGAAGAACAAATCAACTTAATTTCTCAATTCTCCTAATAAAACTGTTGTCTTCAGAAAGTTTTGCACTCCATAAAGCGTTGCTGTTACAGCCTTCTTAGTGCCATAAACTAGCAAAAAGAACTTTTAGTTAGTTTTCAGGTTCCAAATCACTAGGTTTCTGCTGGGGTTTTGTTTGGTTGGGTTTTTCTTCCTCAGAAATTTGAGGAATGTTAGGAAGAATATAAGTATTTCATTGTGTCATAATAGTAGAATCAAAATAACTTTGCTTGAATTTATCATTGCTAGCAGAACTCCAGGATTTAGAACTTACCCCATGCTATTCCACAAATGATTATTCTTGGTTGTTTGTACAGTCCTTTACCCTCATAGCTTGTGGCCACCTTTATTTGATACCTCTCTACAGTCACTGCAAGCTCCTTCCCTCCTCTGCATTTTGGAATCAGATCTGACTTGCAACTGCGGGTCTTTAGTTTGAGAACATTTTCATTTATTCTCATCAACACATTTTTGGGGCAGCCTGTAAGTAATCCATCACCTGATTTCTACCTCATGGCACACAAAGATTATTTATAGTTGTTTTTTGTTTGGTTGTTTGAGGGGTTTTAATAGCTACGCATCTTACACTCCCTCACACCTGCATAAACAAACTAAAACAAAACTACAGCATGTTTTCTTCCAAAAGGACACTAATAATAGATTCCTAGTAAAAAATCATAGTAATAAAGTATCATTTATTTTAGGAGACCTACTAACTTGCAGTGGAGTAAAACCATGCTCAAAGCACACACCTAGGCATTATGTGAGCCAAAGCAGAATGGCAATCTGCATTTTTAAATCATGCTGTAGTCAACCCTCAGTAGCTGCACTTGGTGCAAAGTAGCACAAAAAACCAGGATGAAATGGAAGTTACACATGACACAGAGCAATCCTAAAACTGCTCACAGCACATGTAGGGGAAGAATATCTTTGCAGGCACAATCCCAAAAAACGTATCTTCAGTCACTTAATCAAGGAGCAGATTGACCATCTTGTCAGCTTTCTATTCACCTTTTAACCTTTTCATTGCACTGTTTTGCAGAGTGGATTAATTGAAATTCTTTGCTCAGGTTTTATTTTTGAGTTGATGATGAGTACAGATAACACTCAGATTTCTTCCTTACACCTACAGCTGCTTTTCTGACAGTGCTTTGTTCTGTACCTCCAGCTCATTTCAACTTAACCTTTTCCAAATACCCAGGTCCCTGCAAGAGGATGTCTACATTAACAGTTTAAAGCATAAAAAACTCGAGTATTTGGCGCAGTTAACTCCAAATTAACCTCCCACCTTGGCTAAGCACAGATATGTGAGCTCAGAATCAAGTGCTTGGGGCCAATGCTTTTCTTCCATTACCAGGAGAAAGCTGTCAGTGTAAACACTGTCTGCTCCTCTGCAGCTTAGTGATTGCTTACAAACCTGAGCCAGGAGTATCTGGTAGTGCCTTGCACCCACTTCCCTCAAGTATAAATGACTGCAGGTGGTGAAGGGTAGTACTGAAAGATCATTGAAATTTTCTGTTTGTTTTTAAACTGAACTATTTTATGGCCCCTTCTACAACTACATACTTTTAACCTCCTTGTTGTTTCATGCCTCTTAGCATGAAAACATCTTTATCCCAATCCTAACACTCCACTCCACTTAAATCAGATGCTGAGATATGAAAAACAGAATCTTGGTGAAAAAGTAGCACCTTTTTAAAATGCAGTGATTAAATATTCAATAATCTTAGGGCAGAAGTAATTTTTATTTGCACCAGCTAGATAAACTGAATGACAAAGAAAATTATTCCTTAGACAAGAGGGAAAAAAAAGATCTCTTCAGATGTGACTTTTTAAATGCAGGTCATATGTTTGCTTTCCCCTAGCTGATGCAGAGTATTAAAGGTACAGCATATTAATTACCATGTATATCAATACTCCACCTAATCATAAGGACCATAACACTAGAGTAAATAAAACCACTAGAAATACCTAAGAAGAGAGTAAAATTTGATTACAAACAGGAATTACCAGCACCAATTTGAACCTGTTTATTAACAGGTTTAATCCATAAATGCTCAGGCAAACTTAGAAGTAAACATCTTTGAGGATATCTCTTAACACAGAAGCTTAGAACCAAAATCATTTTCAATCTGCACAGTCAGTCCAGGATTTGTTTTTGTTTCCATGAGCAAGGGCTACCCAGGGCATCAGTAACTTCTGTTTCCAGAGCTACTTCTACATTGATTATACATTAGGATTTGCCCTTTCAAGAGATTTTTAGAAGAATATACAGTTTGTTCAACTATATGTTGGCAACTCTACACATGCCAGAACAAAGTGCAAAATCAGTTGCAGAAAGTCCTAATACAGAGCATCAGGACTTTGGAAGATTTGTATATTTACAGATACAGAGAATTATCCTCTGGAAGTTAAATGACGATGGGAGGGGATACGTATTTCTAGACACAGACATGTGTAACTGCAGTGGGCATTTTCATCAATTAACAAAACCTTTGGGCAAACCCCAGGTGAAATAGATAAAACCTCTGTCCACAAAGTAAGGGATTAAATTAGTCTGCAAATCACTTCTGATATTTAATATTCCATCTGTTATATTTGCTTTGGCTAAAGACTTTCAGCTTGAGCAATTTCTACTCTTCCTAAATGACAGGTCTAACTATACACTTATTTAATGACTTATTTTTCCTTTGTCTGAAAAAGCAAGAATGCCCCCTTTTGACAATTCCATATATTTCCCCTATGAGGCCAGGAGAGGGAGTAGTAGCTTGTATTTTTCCCCAGGAAAATCAACACTCTGGACGCGAAGTATTGTATTCAGTTCCCTGCAGACAACAATCACATCCTTTGTTCATTATTTTTGATAAAGATCACGAAGAGATTTTTTTGGGGAGTGGGTGAAGCAGAAAAAAAATCACTTTGAGAGAAGAACTTCTGCCACAAGGAGTTTTCAGATGAGAATGACACACACTGTAAAAGCTTAATCTCTTACACTTTGATGGTTGGAAAGCCATGAAGTGTCTGCACAGGTTAATCTGTGTTTATTTGCCCTGCTGAAGGTACAGCACAAATCCAGATCGCCTGAGGTCATGTAACTGAGCAGAGGCTGGCCAAGACATGATATTAGGGTCAATTAAAAACAGACTTTATTATTCTTCTGTTTTTAGTTATACAAATTCTAATAAAAAATCTAAAACACATATTTCTCTAGATCCCTACCCAAAATCTCAAGGCTGATGCTGACAGAAAGCAAAGATGGTTTGGAAGCACTTTTGCTTCAAGTTTGTCTGCAGAGAAACCTGAAACATGACTTGATATTCTTCCAAGGTTCTGAAAAGCTCACTACCTGATTTTAAACCATTTAAATTCCAGCGTTAGGAAGCCAGTCTGAGCTCTCTAGACAGACAAGCAAATGACGTGGTCTTTCAAAAGATGACTCAGAGGAGGAAGACAAAAAAAAAAAAAAAAACCAAAAAACTAAAAACTTACTTGTGTATTTTCCAGCTCTTCCAGAGGACTGTTATCTCAGCCTGAAAAACAAAAGGGGAAAAGTCCACAAATGAAATCATACAATGCATCAAGTAAGGCATTTCCAAGAGAAACAAATAACACGGTAGAAGGCACCAGGTAGATCCCAGTTTAGGGCTTCTCTTGCCCCCATCTCAGGCAGCAGGACTGGAAGAGCACAGTCCTTGCACCAGAGACTGTCTCCCCTGACCCCAGGGACCGTCTGAGGGACTGACAGGCTTAGAGAGATGTATCAGGCATCTGCAGAGAGCAGTGCCAGCCTCAACCTCTCACCGAGAGTCAGCGCTGACCTAAGGGTGCTGCATTATCCATCTTGGTTGATATCAGTATTTTTTTCTGTAGTTCAAGCAAGAGGCACATCCCTGTACCTGTGTGATCCTGGAAAACAGAAATGAGCACACTCTTCTTGATCCTCACCCTATACAGCAAACATTAAGTGAAACTGCAGCCTGTTTCTCTCAGAGACAGAGGAGCTTAAGGTATTTAATTAACAATACACAACAGTCATGACGATTCCAAGATGCCTTATTCAGCTGAAAAAGCACAAGAATTAAGGCAGCAGCATGCAATGACAATTAAGATTACAGCATGGGGAGAAATCTCAGGTCAAATCTGGGAGAAAATTTTTTACCTAACCCAATAAGAAGTTAGAAAAAAAAAATTCAAGTTAACTTACAGCTGTCAAAGCAAGAATATCAAAAATCCTGCTGTGTACTCCTGAAAAACAGAAGTGTGTATCCCTCCTGAAAGAAAGATTCTTTCTGCATCAGTGAAAAATAACTTGACTGATTTCAAATTCCAGGTTTTGCACCATTGGTTAAGTTTCCTCTAACAGCACTGAGTTACTGGTTTAAAGTGCTTATTGAGGTCACTATGGCTTTTTACCATCCAGCTACCATATTTTCCAAGACCCATACAGATATTTGGCCACATATCTCTGATTAAAGCTAAATCATCTTAAATAAAAAAACCATTGTGTGTCTAACTACCCCTGCAGCTCCTTGAGAAATGTTAAGAAACTACATTCATGCTATATTCCCTTTGGTGAAGTAGTGGAGAGAAGAATCATCATTCTCAAGCAATACTGCTTACAAACTAAGTTTGGCATTGGATCAGCAGCATTCACCAATGGCAGGGGCCTCACCCATATAAAAATTGCAGTTTTCACAGAAGTGCTTGAGGTGGCTGCAATTAAACTGTACAAGTTTGATTATGTATGCAGATTTTCTCCAGCTCATCCATTTTTCAGTAACAAGATCTACAAAATCAGCAACATGAAAATATGAAACTGTTTGTAAAGCATGGCAGTGAATATACCACTTAGGAACAGCCACTCTGAATACCCTGTGCTTTGTTACTCTGTTTACTTCAGTGTGATATGACTTAGCACACACTAAAATTTTTAAACTCTGTTTTGCTCCCTGGATTCCTTCACAAATATTCTGAAGCATGTAACTACGGGAGGGAGTGCTCCAAAATAAAGATCCCCTTACAACAAAAGCCAAGAGCACCATCAAGAAAGTCTTTCTCATTGCTCCACATGTTGTTTTTCCTTCCCATTTGACAACAGCTAAAAGCACACCAACAACTTCTCTACCAGAATTGGAAGAACAGGTTCAGAATGTACCCCTTCTACCTGAATTTGGCTCATTTAAAGTAGCTTTTCATCTTCCTTGTATTATACAGATTTTTTAGTTGTCTCCATAGCAGTAAGAATTGCTTCTACTCCTGTTTAGTGTTACCAAAAGTTTTGTTTTCTTCTTTTACATTACTTCAGCCTTTTTCTCTCAACTCCAAGGACATTCATCACTACATTCCTCTGACCACCTTTTTCATTATTAAGCAACCTCATAAGGATATTACTCTGATTTAGAGAATGTTTTACTGGAAGCAAGTTCCAAAGAGCCTCTTTCCTACTACATTCAATGTGTTAAGCATTCACTATCAGCTCTGGGATTTAACGAGAACTCAGCAAAGTCTGTTCTCATTCTCCATCAAAGATTAGAAAATTTAGGTGTTTCTATAGTTACAAAGAACTAGTTTCTGGAAAGTCCTTTATCAAGAATGAACTCTGCCTCACTGAAATGAGATTCTCCTTTCTGTTATTTTAAAAATTCTCAAGATCACCTAGCCAGTATTAAAGGGATTCCACTAGTGGCTATGCAACCAGCTTTTGCTATGCTCTGGTTCTCTCCCAGGAAACTGAAGGCTTTTATCTGTTGCCAGCTAAGAAATATCCACTAGACTGAAAATCCACTGTATACTTTTTGGAAAGCTGCAGGGCTGAAGGTAAAAGTTGAACAGCACTGAGGTTTCTTTTCTAATCTGTTTCAAGTTCTGCACTCTTGGATGCTGTTAATTATAGTACAGTATGAAACTAGCAATATGAAAACCTATTTATTCTCAGTCTTAGTAGTTGAAGGTAATTAATACTTTTATCTTCCTACGTGCTTCATTGATGGGGCACATGAAAGGATAAATGAAATGAATCCACATGTAGTTTAAAGGAAAAAAAAATCAATTTATAAAGTTACAGTCCCAGGAAAGAGGCAGGGCAGTCTATGCATGCCTCTTGCTTAGTGGAAAATACAGATTTCTACATGAGTAAAAAGAACCATCAAGATGCTGAGCTGCAGGGTAACAGTTCCAGATCTGTGTCTGTTACTGCTTTAGGGCCAGCCTTTAGGAGAGACCTTCACCCAGAATTTACATTCCACCTCTTACTATTACATGATAACAAGATTTACACAGCATAGTTATGAATCAAGTATTTGGCAAGCAGCTCCTTCCACAGCCATGACTAACTAGGGGTGGAGAACACGTACCACATAAACACCTGAATGCCTCACCGCTTTATTTATGCCCGAAAAAATTAATTTTACTTCCTGATCGTTGCCTCAAGAATTTGTGGGCAATGAAGGAAATCCTAAAGCAAAACCAGGCAACCCATAGATTCAGTTGCACTCAGGAGAATGCCACATTGAGGGTGATTCTCACACAGCAAGATTGCTGTAGTTTCATTGCTAGAAGCTCTCAGCCCTGAGCTTCAGAGCTCAGTCCTCCCCTCACAGCAGAGTCTACTTCACACAGTATGAAACAGAAGCATCATACACCGAATAAAAGCCCCTGCAGAAGCCTTGAGTTTCCACTTCAGTATCAAGATGATGATTCCAAAAAGTACAGCTTAACTCACTACTTTCTAGAAACTTTGCAACTAATTGTATTTATCCAGGCATACAGCATATCCAGTGCTTTTATTCACATGCATTACACAACAGTACACAGAAATATTAAGAACCTGCTGGTCATCCATCGGGGAAGGAACAAGTAGCTTAACAAAAAGGATACCTGCACAAATATACACTACCTGGAAAATTCACAAACACATGAAACCAGTTTTTCCCTCTACTTTTCCAGCAGTTGTGATGGAACATTTCTTCCCTCTGCCAAGTTTTCAGCAATCAACACGACACTCTATTTTTGTGGCTATGTTGCTGTGACCAAAGTGACTTTATTTACCAAGAGGTGTCTGATTTTAGCTGTGCAATGAATCCTTAGCTTTACTTTCCTGTAGCACCTCTGCAAACAACCAGCACATTACAAAGATTAAAGTGTGACTCCAAGATCACACTGGTCCCTGCTTTTACATTATGGTAAAATAATCCCGAAGTTTGGCAGATGAGAGCATAATTAAAAGCATCCTTGCAAAAGTTTGCATTATTTCTTAAATATCTGGCATAATTAAATGCTCCTGTGTAAAATAGCAAAGAACACCTAGAGACTTCTCCTTAAAGACTGAGCTCAGCCATCCCAGAAAGGAGTTACTGTATCTAGTAAATATCAATTAAATTAGGGCTCCCCAGGGGGAAAACAGTGCTTCAAAGGTGGGAAACCTCTTTGGCAACAAACTCCAAGAGAACCAATTTTCAATAATCTCAGAAAACAATAATCCTGTGTATCTGAAATTTTTACATCAATCTTCCCTGTGAACACCTCCCCTTTATTCCACTGTTTCACACAGCAAGCAAAAAAAGAACAAACCAAAACCGGAAACTTTCAGGATAAAATGAAATTTCTTACTAGAAAAAGGACCAAATATCCATTATTTATGAGAAACCAGGTAGATGAAAGTACAATAAAGACAGTGGGGGGGGCTTATTTGCACAATTGCCATTTTCTTCTTTTCATACAGCATAAAGAAAACCAAAACCAGAAGTAAATTATATTTATCCCAAGTAGGAACCCTTTGTATTTTTGTCAATGCACCCAAGAACAAACCCTGTATTCAGCAGCTCAACAACATTTCAGCATCCCAGGCACTGTATTCCTGAAGCAGACCTTGGACTGCCTCATTTAAATGCAGTTGTCATCAACATCACACAGATTAATCCACTGTTTGCTTGCTTGTCTCTTGCTTTCTATTCTCTCACTCAATTTTTACCTGTAGCTAAGAAAATATATGATATATTAAAAAATTTAAAATTTTTAATTTTTACAGTTTGGGGTTTTTTAAAATGTTTTAGGAATTTGAACCTATCAGGAAACACTTGCATATTTGTATGCAATATTGGTTTTGTCCTATGTTTGTTTGCCAGTCATCAAGGCAGAAGTAATTGAATATGCATATCTACTTATATACACACAGATAGCCAATAAGTCCTAAAGAATATGCATATGAACTACATAATTGCAGTAACTTTGTTCTATAATGTTCTCTTGCTTTTTCCTAATTTTTCAGCCCATTACCTGTCACTCTTCTCTGCTTTATCTCATCTTCTTTTTCAGTTAGCTTTTGTTTATTTAAAGACTTACAAGAAAGCATCACCTCCATGCTTACCTTTGCACATAAATTCCCTGACTAAATCCCTGTTCAAAAAGAAATTATTATCAATTATCTATGGTTTACTTCTTCAACTACAACAAAGAAAGCCTGTGAACAACGTACCAGACTGGATACAAGTGCCAAAATCACAAAATCCTCTAAAAGAAGCTGAGCTCTACTTATGCTCTCTTTTCCTGTTTCTGCATAAAGTTGAACCTAACACCATCACATATAAAAAGGTGAGGGGAAAAAAACCTTCAAGAGAGCTTTACCACAAGGTTAATGGATATGAAAATTTCTCCCCACTCGCACATACAATTGAGGTGTTTCGGTAATTATCAGTATCCATTCCCCTCTTTAAAGTTTCCCTGCAAGCAGCAATCAGAATTATATACGATCTCTGCATGAAACTAATGAATTCATGACAAAGAAGACTCCTCAACATGATAAGAGATGGTGTATCAGGGGTATTAGCATCAGGCTTTAATGCTCAAAAACAGGCTCACAGCCACGTTCACACCATAATGGAGCTGGAACAGTACCAGTGTCACACTCCAGCAGCTGTCCAAGGACTTGGGTTCCCATCAGAGGAGTAAAGAAAAATGCAAAGATTAAACAGTTTTGTTCTCTTCCTAGATCAAGAGAATAAAAATTACGCTTGTCTGCTCTCCATGTAAAGATTTTCCTAAAGATATTAATCTGTAGAAACTTCTGTTCAGATCAGAGAAAATACTTTTTCAACAATAACAATTTACACCTCTTCAGTACTCCTTTAAAAGAAATATTACCTGCAAAATGAAGGTAGTGTGCTGAAGAAAAAACTGTAAGAGTCATATCCTGTTAAATTTGGGCAATACTTGCCTGGCAACTATTTCTGACCCAGGAGACTTTCTGAACCTATACCTACCACATAAGATTTTTTTTCTTCTTCAGGTACAGCTAGCAGAGATCACTGTTCTTGTTACAAAGGGGTAATCTTAAATTACAAGTGCACTTTTCACTCCATTTTCTTCCCCAAAAGGAAGCACATTAAAGGAAAATTGAAAGGGCAAGGAATTTTATGCACTTAATAGCTTTTGAGGGTACCAGAGCTCAAATCAAATCTTTACAAAACCACAATACCCAGGCTCTCTATAGGACATGCAAACACTTCACCACACAAGGTCTCCCCTAAGAGTGAAACCCCAAGAAAATACAATTCCCTATGCCAGCTCCTTATCCAAATGCTATCATCCTTAGACCTTTTTAAGCAGACCCTTTGCTCATGTTTAAGCATCACAGGTCCCATCCACACTTCCCCATAAGTGGGTATCCCTAACACACCGTCCCCACATCTGATTAATGCTGGTAGAATAAAAAAAAACACTGTTTCATGGGCAGAAGCGAGTGAAGAAGAAAGGGAGATGGTGGATTTGGGCACGATTGCAACAAACACACAGTTTAGGAAACAGCCGGAAAAACAAAAAATCCTGAACATCCTCTGCTATCATCTTGCCAGTTCCCAGACATTTAGATATGTACCCCACTATCAGATGGCAGAACAGCAGCGTCCTTTGGATGACTGGCTCAGGTAATCAAAGCAGAAAACAGCCAGAAATAATACTGCCAAGTGATTAGAAGAGAACTGGTTGTAAATTTAAACACCCTTTTGATTCATTAATCTCCAACAGCTAAAGACAAACCTAAAGCGAAATTGCCGTGATTGTAAACCAAGCACTCCTGTCCTGTGGCTATTTTTCGGCCTGCTGAGAGAGAATGAGCTGATCAAAGACAGACACTTCAGTGAGATTAGTGCTGCTTCAGTGAGCTCACAGTTAGTTCCCATCAACTAACCTGTTTTAGGAGCTGGTAACACCGGCATTAATCTCTGCTTCAATTGGAAGCGAAACCAGGGAGCGACCCGTCCATCTCCTGGTGACAATTGCACCTGCCCTGCGAGCCTGTGCAGGTCCAGCGAAGCCTTTTGCTGCTGATGGGCAGGGAAGAGCGCTACGAATTTCACATCAAGGGCACGAGCATTCAAAACTTCCCTGGGAAAGCAAAGCAGAGGTTTCATTTTGCTGGCTCATCACCAGGGGCACGTGGAAATCCTAGCAAGTGACTGCAGTGAAGAATCCCTGGGAATGGCCCATACGAGGAGCTAGCAACCATTAGGAAAAGCCAGCCTGCAAGGACAAGCGGCACTGTGACAGTACAGTCCCAAACGGTGTTTCAGCAGCAGCTAGGAGTGGCTTAAACTATAAAATATTTTATGCATTTACAGTTCTCAGCAGCTTGTAAGGTTACAGAATTACTGCCCTTCAGTAAATTGATGAATTCGAAAATAAAGAAAAAAACCAAATCCACAACAAAGTACTCAAATCCTTCAGCCACCAATTATTTAAATCCATCCAAGATTGTCTTCAGTAGCCACACCTTCTACTGTTTAGTGTTATCTCTCAACATAGATTTTCAATGTGATAGATCAGTGAATCCTAGGAACATTTATTACAAAATGCAGCTTTCTGGAATTGAATTTCATATTTTAGCTGATATTCATCAGAGCCTAAATGTATATATACAAATTATTGCTGACAAAAATCTCTCTAGTGAAATATAGTGAATTACATAGATAAGATCCTCTGTACAAAGTTTGAATAAACTATTTTTTTTCTGATAAATTTCTGTGATGTGGACAATATTTTAATATCACACAAATATTTTCTCTGCAGCAGTCTCCCTCTCAGGCATATCTCACATGTTGAAGCAGAGAGTCAGGTGCAGTAGCTGGTACATAACCTTTCATGCATAAACCCCAAATTCTTCCAGAGATGCCTGAAAAAAAATCTGTCTAGGCTCATTCATTTTTAATCATTAAAATTTTATAACATTTAAATGTGATAATCACAAAGCACTTCATCAAATAAAATAGTAATGGGTATTTTGCTCACTTGGGATAGAGAAAGACAGTTTTTAAAGAGGGAAAAATAAACAAGGTTGCCACTTCCCACTGAAAAGGGAAAGGCATTTACAAGCAAAGTTCCCTGTGGAATACAGGGTGGCACCTGAATAGACCCAAGTGGAAAAGGGATAAGAAACAACAACACCAAGTTTAGAAGGAATATACACATAGCTGCTTTTATCCAGGAATAAGTGGATTGCCAAACTTCACGAGTCTATCAAATGCGTGGTCTCACACAAGCACTTTATAAACCACATCACACTAACATCATTAACTTCTCAGATTAGATTAAAATAATACCTACAGACTCTGACAAGTGAAAATTCATAGCCTAGGTGTTTATGAAATATATAATTCAGTAATACCCTCTAACATATTTAAAGTACTCAGATATCAACTCATTTTTACTACAGAAAAGGATATTGACCCCTTAACAACTTAGCAGCAATTAAAAAAATAGGACAAATAAACCCAAACATCCCCCCACTTCACATCACTCTCAAATTAATGCTAACTGAATGATACAGACACCCACTTTAATTAGTTTTTAGCCTCCTCTAAAGCTAGGTGCTACACAAAAGAATTTTAAAGTAAATGTAACACTCCCAGCAAAGGAAAGAACTACCTTGAAACAAACTGCCCTCGAAATCTGCACACTCTAAAACATGATATAGTTTAGTCACTGCTACACATAAACCGTGGAAGTTATGTGGGCAGAATGCAGCAGTCATACATTAGAAACAAATAACTAATAGGAGCTAACTAATACTGGACTAAATAGATGGCAGACAACGGGAGACACTTATTTTCTGTAAAAAAATAACAAAACCCAAACTACTCACAGAAGAGCTAATCCAGTCACCTCATGGAAACTAAAATCCATGAACTCCCTAACAATAAGAACCTTATTGAATTACTTTTCTCAGCACTATCCTATTCCCAGAACAAATACTGTATTTGTGAATCCAAGCTCTATCCATCATAAGAGTTCAGCCCACTGTCTCACCCCAACTTTAACACTTCCTGTTTCTCAAACACCTCCTACCTTTTCTCTTTATTAGCTGAGCATTGAAGATGGTTAAGCTTGATTAGTCTTCACTTCCATTTAACATTAGAGTTGCACATGAAGAGAAACTTCTGTGCTTGATGAGCTGCTAAATTTTTCCTAAATGTTCCAGGTGATTTAAAGGAAAGTATCACTTCTCCATTAAAAACCTTCCATCACATCTGTGGGCAAATGCAGCTCCTGTTGAGGAAGCATGCAGCAGAAACAGGTTTAAAAAAACTTGGGTAATGGGCCTTGTAAACCCAGGAAAAATAAAGGCAGGTGTTTTCCTCATACTAAATAGCTGGTATGAACCTGAGAGAAAAGAAAAACATAAGCAGTATATAAGTTTTCCTGATTGTAGGATCACAGTAATGTTGCAAGGACCTTAAAATATTAAAGAAAACCCTAATGAATTTCTGAGAATAAAAAATGCTTGGCTAGAGGTGTAACAAACGTTCTCAATAAATTTACTTGATTTTTCTTTTTCTTTACCAATATAACTCCTTGCAGAAGCATCGATCATATCAAAACTTAAATGTTAGCACAAACACTACCATGAAAATATTCTATAGATAAAATAATTTTAAACTCCCTATTAAGTTATTTGAGTAGGGTAGTTAAAACTATCCTGCCAAAAGTACATTCATTTTGTTAATTTATTAAAATTTCAGGACAAAAGTTGTGTTTCTTCAAAGCATCTTGCAAGATAATATGTATTTTACCTCAAAAAAGATCTTACAACTCAGAAAAGTACAGAAATAATGTACTAATCTCAGAGAAAGGCTCTGATGTGACAGGACACCAGGGCAGCAGGAAGCAAAAATTTTTCTGAAGATTTATTCAACTTTACAGAAACATTATGCTTTTGATTTTTTAGCTTTTTGCAGACTTGAATGTGAGTGGGGAATTTTCATTCAAATGCCATACTCTCAGGGTAGTTTGGTTGATTTAATACTCAGTTTGTAACACTCTGTTGGCCCGAAATTATTATAATTGTGGCATGAATGTAACTTTTAAGAAAGATGAGTGAAGACTACTTACAGGAGCACAGAGTGACAGAAGGGGGAATGTGTTCCAACTGGAAGAGGGTAGGTTTTGATGAAATATTAGGGAAAAAATCTTCACTGTGAGGGTGGTGAGGCACTGGGACAGGAGAGGCTGTGGCTGCCCCATCCCTGGCAGTGTCCAAGGCCAGGTTGGACAGGGCCTGGAACAACCTGGGATAGTGGAAGCTGTCCCTGCCGTGGGATGGTAAAACTGGATGACCTTTAAGGCCCCTTCCGAGCCAAACAACTCCGTGTTTCTATGAATATTTTATACGGTAACAACGCTGTGGTGGGTACTCGAAGCTATTTGCTGACATTAGCAATGTGCGTTAAATCCTCCCCAATATCAGCTGTTGTCAAGGGATGCTGGGCCTGCACTTACTGGATGAGAATACACAAATAAAACAGCTATTCCTGGGGATTTTTTCACCCTTCCTCTCTGGAAGGGTACGTCAGGAGACTGTCAGGAGCCCAATTCGAGCGCGATTCCTGTTCTTTTTTACCCCTCCTCTGTGGAAAGAGGCGTCAGGAGCGGGAACGTCCAGTGTGAGGGAGGGGCGGGCAGGTGCGATGCGGGACCTCCTCATGCCGGGGACTAGCCCAGCCTCGGCGGGTCTGTCAGCGCCACGGGGAAGGAATACCCTCCTCGGGGAAGGAATATTCTCCACGGGGAAGGAACACCCTCCCCGCAGAGTGCTCAGCGACCCCGGCGGTGACCTGAAGGGACGGCGGGGCCGCCCTGAGGGGGCACGCGCAG